GGACTTAACTGGAACCTTAAAAACGATACATTTATTCTGAAACTGAACAAGATCTCTAACCTTGGAAAAGGTCTTGAACCAACAAAACGGAACGTCTTGAAAGTTGCCGCCAAATTGTTTGATCCTTTGGGCTTGATCACGCCAGCGACAGTGCAACTTCGTATGCTGCTGCAAGATTTATGTGCCAAGAAATATGACTGGGACAGTATTATTACCCAATCAAGTGCCAAAATTCTTCGGATATGGCTCGATGATGCAGAGAAAGTTGACCAAATTGTAATTCAGCGTTATTACTTTCCAACTGCGACTAAGAGAATAGAATCAGTCACTCTTCATGGATTTGGCGACGCGTCAAAGGGAGCTTACTGCGCCGTCGTTTATCTGTGCGTAGAAACCGAGGATGGTTACATGACAAGTCTTGTGGCTTCGAAGAGCAGAGTAGCATCCTTGACACCTATAACGATACCGAGACTTGAACTGATCGCTGCACTCATTCTTGCACGTCTGATTTCCACAGTCAAGGAAGCACTCAGCGGAGTCATTGACATCGAAAAGATTTCCTGTTGGACAGACAGCATCACGGTCTACTATTGGATCCAATCGAATAGAGAATTCAAGCAATTTGTTCAGAACAGAATCGATGAAATCCTGAAACTGACAAATGCAGAAAACTGGCGACATTGTGCCGGAAAGACCAATCCTGCAGACATTGGTTCCAGAGGATGTCTACCATCAGAACTTGTAAGCAATGACTTGTGGTGGAACGGCCCTACCTGGCTAAAGCAGTCTCCACAGAGTTACCCAATGTCAGAGAAAATAGAGGAAACCGAAGATCAGTCAGAAGAATGCCTCAAGGAACTACGAGTTAAGGCAATATCGACCACTACAGCTACCAACCTTGTTAAAGAAACCACGTCTGTCAAGAACACTAACCTGTCAAGGATTATTGACATTACCCGGTTTAGTTGTCTTGCAAAATTGCTCAGAGTTACAGCTTTAGTGTTCAGATTTGTTAAGATCCTGAAGGAAAAACACAATGATTATCAATGTTCAGAAAACATTGTTTTAACTACAGCAGAGATTACAGAAGCTAGGAACACTTGGATTCGTAATTGTCAAATAGAACTTGAACAGCAGCCAAACTACGAGACCTTGCAACAACAACTCGGAGTGTACGGAGATATAGAACACATCCTGAGGTGCAAAGGGAGATTGGATCATGCATCACTGCCAGACGAAACTAGACATCCAGTGTTACTACCACGAAACCACCATCTTTCCACTCTTGTTGTTAAATCGTGTCACGAGAAGATTCATCACGGTGGTACAAGAGAAACGCTAGCAGAGGTTAGGAGTGTTTATTGCATCCCGAAAGGAAGACAATTCGTGCGAAAGATTCTGCAACAATGCGTAACGTGCAAGAAAATCCAAGGTGTGACTTTCCAACCACCTCAACCAGCTCATCTACCCGAAACGAGAGTTACAGAAACAACTGCATTTACCCACGTCGGCGTAGATTTCGCTGGTCCGGTTTATGTAAAGAAAATGAATGGTCACGAAAAGGAGATGAAGAAAGCTTACATCTGTTTGTATACGTGTGCGACATCTAGAGCACTTCACTTAGAGCTGACGCCTGACCTCTCTACCGAAGCTTTCATCCGATGTTTAAGGAGATTCACTGCAAGACGAGGTACGCCGGCCACGATAACATCGGACAATGCAAAAACTTTCAAACGAGCAAACAAGGAAATAATCAAGATATTTGAGGGACAAAATCTACAACAATTTGCAGAGAATATGGGTATCACATGGAAGTTTATTCTAGAAAAGGCGACGTGGTGGGGTGGCTACTACGAGCGAATGGTTAAACTTGTTAAGCTAAGTTTACGCAAAGTTCTGGGACGAGCTCAATTGAGTTACGAAGAATTCATGACAGTACTGACTGAAATCGAAGGAGTTCTGAATTCGCGACCTATTACTTATGTTTATCCAGATCTAACTGAGGAACCATTAACTCCTTCACACCTGACTATCGGGAGACGACTTGCCACATTACCAAGTGAAGGTCAGCTTAGTGATGACGAAAGTTCGGAAGCAACGTTCAAACGTAGAGCACGTTATCTAAGCAAATTACTGGAACATTTTTGGAAACGATGGTCTAGAGAATACTTAGTAGACTTGAGAGAATTTCACAATAGCAAATCCACCAAATCAAGGAGAAGAATTCAAGTAGGAGATGTTGTATTGATAAAGGATGATGGACTACCGAGATCGAAATGGAAACTTGCAGAAGTTAAGGAATTGATGAAAGGTAGAGATGGAGAGACAAGAGGAGCTGTATTGAGAACAGTTACAAAGAAGGGATCCCATACGATCCTACGAAGACCAGTTCAAAGACTTTGTCCATTGGAAGTGAATAGTAACACAGTTAGCGAGCAGTAGAAATTATCTGAAGAAAAGAACGAAACAGTTGAATCATCGAAACCAGCTAGACGAAAGGCAGCTATCAAAGCAGATACTGTTCGCAGACCTTTTGACCAACGCTGACGCAATGGTCAAGGGGGGAGTGTAGATAAACTATAAACTTTAATATAACCGGGAATTAACTATTTGACATTGATATTTATAGTAATGACACTAAAGACAATTATAGCGTGATTGACATTTAATATAAAAACAAGAGCGACGAGAATATGGGGATTTGGTGTAAACAATAGCGTAAATATAATAAACTTGATATTTAACAGAGCAGATTAGTCGAAAATATTATACAGTACTGTTCTTTGTTGTTTAATATATGTATTGTTGTAATTTATTTATTCTGGCCCGCAGTAATTGGCAAACGCTGTTGTGGATTCCCTGCCACTGTAATATGTACAAGGCGAATTAAATAAATAAATAAATAAAAGTATCAGGGAAACATATTAACAAATACTCATATTATTTTACCATTACCTGTTCTTCGTTTTCAATCTGTTTACTAACATCTTTCCTTCCTTCCCCTTCACCAATCCCACAATTCTCAGCATCCTCGAAAGAGGTCGCTCCTTCACCTTCCATCTCCTCTTCGTCAGCAGGAATACAGAATCCTTTTTGTAACAGTTCCGAAAATATTCCCAACAATACTGAGTGCAGTTTACAAGAGCTTCTGTGACAGAGTAACAATTGATGGAAATGGTTCTCAATAAGTAACACATATTGAGATAGGCATGGGAGTATGCTAACCATGATCTCGCAAAGTCTCTCGATGGAAGTAATGTTGTTATACTTCTTATATTGACCATCAATTGCTTGTCTGAAGAATTTGATGAAGGATTTGATATCTTTTGTTCTTTCCTGGATATTAAGGATTGATATATCTGCCTGTAGTTCGTTGTCTAGTCCTTCAACAAAGTATTTATCATCTTCAACTTCTACATAAATTTCAAAATTATACATTAACTTGTTGTTTCTCATGCACAAGCAGTTGAGGTCCAGAAGAGGTTCCTCAGTCCAAGAAATAAAGGGTAACTTATAATGGACTTCTATGGTATGCAGCATAGACAGCCATGATATAATTGTTTGGTACTTTTGTAGGTATAAGACAGTGAATATTTTAAGTTCTAAAAAGTCTGTCTTCCACTAAAAACAATTGTATTGATTGTAATATACCAATATAGAACTTAGAACTGATAAAGTTGTTCAGTTTAGACAAAACAAGTCGTTTACCTTCCCTAACAATAGATTCCTTGGCTTCATCTATCTCATTTTCTCTTCTTTTATACCATTTTTGAAAGCTTAGGAGAATGCTTTCCCTTGTTGATGCCACTTTAGAGCGAAGTGAAGAAAATCGTTCTGAAATAGAAATGATAAATTTCTCATACAATGATTTCCTTTGGTATGTTAGATAGATTTGACAAAGGGATTAACCCCAGATCTACACGAATGCAATCAGTATATTATTTCAACCAATTAAGATATGGGCATACTGTATGAATCAAAAGTTTTTCGAAATATATAATTGTGGTATTTTCTACAAAAAGTCAATCAAATTTTTCAATGAAACAAAGAAAAATTGATATAACAGAATATGTGCCATCATTTTACCTTCAGAGGTACCGTTTTGTGCTTCTTTGAAAGTCTCTTTATTCCAACTAGTAAATTTATTGCAAGTGTCTGTAATTTCTTGCCTCAAATCAAATGCCAGTTTTCCAAAACCAAAGTCACTAAATTTTACAATGCAAAAATTTAGTAAGTATATTAAATGCACTTTCCTTATAAATCTAAAAAAGAATGTAGACAGTAAAAAGAATGCACTAAAATTACCTGGGACGCACAGGGTCTTTTGCAAGAAGGTTGTAAAGTTAACACAAATAAAAAACCTTCAGTTTCATTAAGATGTGCATTATAGCAAAAGCTATACTTATGTATACAAGCATTTGAAAGGTTTAATTCGCTCAAACGGGAGTGAGACCAAGATATAATGTGGCTGAGGAATTAGAACCAGGCGAGTACTTCATAACAATATTGAAGTTTCGTAAAAAATATTATTTTTTAGATAATTATCCAAAAGTAGTTAAAATCGAGCATATCCTGTGTACCTTGTATCCATTTTAACAAATTCCTCCAGATATAGTAATGTTCTTTCTAGTTGCTTGAAAGATTCCCCCAAACATTCGAAGTGAAACCTAAGCAAGGGAGAAGAAAAATGATTAAACTACTAACGAACAAACTCATTTTAATCGATACTCGATAACTCTGGTAGTTCCAAACAGTTCTCCATAAAAGTCCAATAAGGACCATGCATGGTGCACAAGCACAAATACAGCTATTTGCATTCAAGCACAAAGCCCCGGCCCGCAAACATTTTCGCGCGTTTTTGTTACGTTTGAAACGGGACGTTTACCGTTGAAAACTGAAATGTATTCACTGCTCATGTGACGTGTCACAGTGCAAAGTCTCAGCTATTTTTGGCGTAACTGTCATGTTTTGATGTGCCTCCTTGCACGTTTCATTATTTCCAAGCCCATGATAATACCGTTCTAGTCAGGAAAAATATGAACGTAAAAAAAATTGGTCGCTCTTACAATATCGGCACATCAAAACATAAAAAATAACTGAAGGCTATGCACTGCATGTACATAACAGTCACATGAGCAGTCAGTGAAACATTTCCGTTTTCAACGGTAAAGGCCCCGTTTCAAACATAAAAAAACGCGCGAAAATGTTTGCGGTTTGTGCTTGAATGCAAATGACTGTATTTATGCAACCTCTCCATTACACTGTATACATACCAAGTCGCAATAAAACCACTGTCTTCTTTCTCTTTGGTATTTGAATCTGGATTCAACAATAATGTCTGCAAATCAACTTTGGATTTAATCTTAGATATTTCATCATGAAACGTCTAAATTGTAGAAAATTAAACGCAAAACATAAATGAATTAGTTGTCATGGAGAATTCATCATCCGAATAAAAGATCAAAAGATCATCCCATGAGGTATAGTTTTAAGTAATTTCATTAACTTCAATATAACACTTACTTCGATGTCTTTCTGTAAGCGAAAATAGACAGTGTCTTGTTTACAACATTTCGATAGATCTGACAGCTGTTCGGAAATTGGGCTCATAGTAAGATCAATTTTAGATTCAGGACAAGTTTCAAGCAAACATAGAAGGTTTTCTGACGTCTCAAGGCCACTGTTTAGTAGTTTATGTAGTTTTAACTGTTAAAAAAATAAGAAACTCATTGCAATAAGGTGAAATTAATTAGTAACGAGTTTTAATCTTGAAATATATATACAAATTTTAATAATGGTTTAGTAACGTTTACAGGCTTTAATGATGTGCTAAACAACAACCCCCCCCCCCCCAAAAAAACAACCACCCCCCCCCCCCAATTAAGGAATCCTAGCCATGGCAGCAATAGTTGTAGAGGTAATAAAGAAGTATTTTGGGTGTCTATTCTCCGTAGGGCAAGCGTTTTGAGGCAGCTAGGAGCCTTAGCAATCCCACTGTCTAAGACTACCTTCCTTTCTCTGACAAAAGGGCTTTTGCTGGAAATGCTCATGGAACATTCCAAGTCCTAAAAAGTGTTGGTAAAATGAATAATTACTTACCGTCCAATCAGCAACATCGTGTTGAGGTGGAAGACGGTATGGTCGACTGGTGGAAAGATTTTTCAGTTGTCTTGTTACCAGTCTAAAAAATAACGACCCTTTGTGTGTTCAACTTTTTAAAAATATATTACTATTAACATCATTGCACTTTAGCAGCAAGCAATAATTTTGACACATTTAAAATTCCTTTGTTAGTCCGATGTTTTGTAGTGGATATATTTTACATCTGTATATTACCACCACCAATATGATAAATGAATGCCCAAATAATGTAAATTAATAATAAGATGTTTTACATCCAAACAACTGGTAAACTCCTAGTTCGATCACGGGTTTAATTATTTCGAGATACATGAACAAGAAACTACCCAGTACGTCGACTTTACTTCATCATACCCATTTACGCATAAAAATGGAAATTTTCAGATTTGTCCACATTCTAAACTAATATCAAGGAGGTAAAAAGATGCCATTTGATATTTGTAATTGATAATGACAAAAGTTGTTATTTATGGTTAACTTTCTCCCAACGAAAAGATAGCTATAAATTTGCCTGATTAGACATTTGTGTCCAACAATAAGAAATTAATGTTCTTATATCTTGGCGCAAATATATTGCAACTAACCTACTAAATGGCTTTATGAACCTAACTTGTATGACTTACCTCAGTTCAGAAAGTAATTTGCCAACAGTTGAGATGCTTTCTCTTTGTCTTTGAGTTATCTGGCGTAAATGTTCAGCAAAACCTTTTATTCTATCTACATCTCCCACAGTCAGGTCCTGGAATATAAACATAAACAAAATACATGTAAATAAGCTGAAACTATGCATCCTCAAGTAGGTAACCTAATATACAGTAACTATAAGAAATTATGTGAAAGCCAAGTTAATACTGAAATATTTTCGTGTTACATGTGTACCTGGAAAATGAATTTTCATATTCCATTTAAAGCGGCTTGAATGTTTTTTTGTTTACAACTTTTTAAACTTTTCAAATTCCTGTAATTCTGCATAATTTTTACCTTGTATGGCGAAGTAAGAACGTTATTCAAGATTGCAGAACGAGCAACACATTTCTGATAATATTTCATGCTGTTCTCTAACATTGGTAAAAGGTTTGAATTCTCACTAAAAAGTAAAGGGTCACTCCAATATCAATAATTGAGATTCAATTTAAATGGACCTATTCCCTAATGAACAAAATTTTGATCTAGACAAACATTTGATCACAGCTTGAAAGAGCATCACAAAATTAGTGATATTCCGAAGTTTCGTTGCGAAATGTTGTTAAATGCGGATAATATAGCCTTGCGAAGTTTGCCGTTTTTCAGTCATTTTAGATTACGCGCGGGAAATTGATACCGCTTACCGAGAAAAGGTATCAATTTCGCATGCGTAATACAAAATGACTGAAAAACGGCAAACTTCGCAGGGCTATATTATCCGCATTTTACAACATTTCGCAACCAAACTTCGGAATGTTACTAATTTTGTGATGCTCTTTCAAGCTGTTATCAAATGTTTGTCTAGACTTGTCTAGATCAAAATTTTGTTCATTAGGGAATAGGTCCATTAAAACCTGTCTTTGAAAAGTACATCGAATACAATGAATTTCAATATATGGAATCAGAAGTTTGTTAAAATCGAAGGAAAACTATCGACACATTTATTTTGGAGAGAGTCTGAACCAAAGCCGGATTTTGGCGGAGATAGTGGGAGCAAATTTAGGGGAGGTGGAGCGGTCTAGCTCACGACCCCCATGGCAAGTTAGGGCTTAGAACGGGCCAAAGTCAACGACGTGACGTATGCAAGTAGTGTACACCCATGGATAATAAAATACATGGGTAGGAAACTAGCCGACACGTGACCTGATGTTTTCAATGGGATGATGGCGTTGAAACCTAGTTGCAAATCAAATTCTCAAAACCGGCATGTTTAGCGATAATACAGCTAAACATTTTAGTCAAAGAGCAAATAAATATAACTAGGCCATTTTATGATGAAATCTCTAAGTATTCCCGGTCAATTTTAGCAAATATTGCAAGCACTAAACAGTGAAAAATGCATCGCAAATTTCGTAAAAATTTCGTAGCTACAAATGTAAAAAAATACAAAACAAAGACGAAAAACATTTACCTTGAATACTTTTTCGTCGCTTAGGCACGTTTTTAAAACAATTAGACCAGTTTATGCTTCAATATTACTCTTTTAAAGCGGAAAATATAGCGAAACAACAAAAATGCTGAGAACGTTGGCAATACACGTGACGTCACAGATTGCAACTAGGTTTAGACTGTGACGTCAGGAAGTTTCCTATCCAGTTATTTTACAATACAAGGTACAACATAACAGTGTATTAATGAATTATGACTGTATAACTCACCCAATTTTGCCCTTCACTACAAGTACTACAAAGTTTCTTTCAAAACATTGCTTTAAAAGGGTACTTGACACAGAGATTAATAATGAATGGCTATCACAGTTTCAATTTTACAGAAAAAACTTTCTTACGAAGTGTAGACCCTTTGCAACCAAAAAATGTCAAATTTTCACTTTTATCTATCATTCAAACTTTGCCAAGGGGAGGTGCATGACTTTTCAGAGGAGGTGCAAAACGATCTTAGGGGAGATGCGCACTTTCCCACACCTCCCCTCAAAATCCGGCCGTGATCAGAACATACACCTTCTCGAAGTTCCCATCAATATTACTCACTTATTCATAAATAGTATATCCATATTCCTTAATATTCGCAATACATTACTACAATTAACCATCATCGGATCCTTTAGAGAATTCTTTTGACGAAGACTTATCCCTTTTCGGTATGATAAACCTGAAAGAGCAGATACACGTTATGTCTACGATTAAATGAATGATTATAATACATTTAAACTAATGAAGGCGAGATAATAAAGGCTGCATGCGTTTCAGTTTTAGAATTGTTTTAAACATGACTGATTTATTCTAAAGTTTAGAATACTTTCAAGATATATAAAATAAACGTAGTAAAAATAACGTTTTAAACTTACCCATTTTTCTCAACCCCTTAAATAGATCAGCCAAAGCTCTTTTCTTCAACGTGTAAATATGCTTGCGGAATTGTGTTCGTTCTTTGCCAGTCTGAGCGTGGGTATAGAAATATAATTTACTTGAACATATATGGACATTATGGAATTAATTTGTTTATATATATCAAATATATCACGTAGTTAAAAGCTTTAAAAGTAGATCGAAATTGCTTATGGAACAAAATTCTTTATGATTCCTTTCTCAAGAACACTAAAACGATGAATTAGCATATACTGTTAACTGTCAGTCCATGAGAAAACCATGCAAAATCTGCAAAAAGCGAGTCAGGGGTGGTTAACGGATTTTGTTCTTATTCAGAGGTTTTGGTCACCCATGTGGGCACAATCCATGGCCAAATGGGTTTGGCTCCCCTATCAATGGTTTTTGAGATATGTGGAAAAATCGATTTTTTTCTCTATTTTCGGCCATTTTGGCTAAAAAATAAGTCATTTGTTGAATATTTACTGTGTGTTAATGGGATGTTTGATGGATGTTCTGTATATTGTGTATATTAGGGGTGGTCTTCGTCTTTCACGACCACATGTTGAAAGTTCCACCTCTGCCCGCTAGCGGCTACACTAGTCCTATAAAGTTAGGGTATCTGGCACCACCCAAAATATACCCTAACTTTGCCCTGAGATGTAGCTCTTGCTGCAGGTTATGGGTCCATGGGGGATGGGGGCTTACGTAGAGGAAGACTAGCCCTATAAATCACAACCATAAAATTTTTGCCACCTCACTCCTTTTACTAGACACAAAGCATGAAATCGTCTCGAAATTTTGAT